AACCAGACTGGGACCACTGCTCACACAGGGGTGGAACCAGACTGGGACCACTGTTCACACAGGGGTGGAACCAGACTGGGACCACTGCTCACACAGGGGTGACCAGACTGGGACCACTGCTCACACAGGGGTGACCAGGAAAATTACATATTTTTTTTTTACTTTAAAGTTTCTGCAGATCTTTGTGTTTTGGTCATTTCTTTGTGTCTTCTACAGAAACCTTATAAACYTTGGGCGTCTGAACCATTTTAAAAGCGTGGGGGGACACGCTGTTTGGGGGTCCGGGGGTCCTCCACCAGAAAATTTTGAACAAAACAGATGCCATTTCCTGCATTCTGGTGTATTTTACCAGGTTGTTTAACAGACTTTTACCTACTTAAATAAACACTTGATTTAATTATTTCAGAGACAGATTCTTCATTAAACTAGTTTTATCATCCTGTTTTAAACTCACTGCTACAGATGAGATAAGGTTAATTAATGTGTCAGTTTATCATATCTAATGACTTTAGGGATGATTTTTACTTTTATATTGTTTATTGATTTATTTTAATTGTAACACATCATTGTGCCGAATAATGATGACCGTCAGCTGCATGTTTAAAACTAACGTTATAAATTTTACCCAATGGATTTAGTGAATTTAGAGGGGGGTTTCACTTTTTCTGACTCAGTGATAGGTCTGCTCATAATAAACACAAAGCATCATCTTTCATAACASAAAATGACACGGTGTTATGGTGACAAAAGTCCAAAAGTTGACACCATAAGTCAGATTACAGGTTTAGGTTCTGTGTAAATAAAATCCTCACTTTCTTGTCGTTACTCTTCTTCAGTGACAGAGTTGTGATGTTTCAAACTGTTAAACACTGCCACCAACTGTTCAGGAGGATCATTACACCCTAAAGGTTGTTTCACTGTGGAAGGGGTGTGTACAGCAGGGGGGGGGGCAAAGATTTGTCTGTGGTGGGCACGGCCACCCCTGGCCACCCCCTGGCTCCGCCCCTGAGATTTTCGTGGATTATTGGTTGAACCTCGTTTTTCACCTGACTCCTTCTGTTTTCAGCTGACGATGCACGTCTGCAGCGTGCTGACTCAGCAGTTTTTTTTATTTTATTTTTTTTTAGATTTTGCATAAATACTGTAGCTGGTAATACTGCAGCAGGAGCTGTTCCAATCACGTCACACGTTCAGTGTTTTCATTTTAAATTGGGAAAGTTGCTGAGCCACGTTTTTTTCAGGCTGGAGCACATTTCCTCCACGAAACACTGGAAGGACCAACATGTGGAAATACTTTCAGTTATCAAATGTTTTTGAGTTCTTCCAGTAGATGAGAGAAAAGCATCAGGCTGCCTCAGAGCTGGTTTAGTCTACGCTCTGTGGACAGACACAGCTGAACACTGGTTATCAGAGGCGTCCTCTCGGCGCAGCAAACATCCTGTTTTCACCGTTTCATCCACAAACGCTCGTTTAACGCCGACGGAGGATCAGAGAACGGCTTCAAACTTCATAAGAGCATTGTAAAGATCAAGGCTTTGCAGGTTTTATAAGTATTACAAATGCTAAAAAACCACAAAGGGGTTTCAGTACAAAATCTATACGTTTGAAAAAGATCCTACGATTATTTCGTCGCAAAGCCGAACTTTATTTTCTTTTTTCTTTATTCAACCTTTGGAATGTCTTAGAAAGCCTCAGCGTTCTCCGTCCTCCTGAAAACACGTTTCATTTAGATGAAAATGGAAATAAAAACACTGGAAGTGAAAGGAGCTGAAGCACGAGAGGTTTGAGCTCATCTTTTAGTCATGGCTGAATCTAGCTGCTGGTGGGGGGGGGGCAGGACCTCTGTGGGCTGGATCAGGGTTCAGGTGAGACCTGATGAGTGAAGGGATGAAGGTGAACGGGTGAGGAGCATGGCCGACACAGACTCGTATCAAAGTTCAAATACTACAGCAGAAAAAAAGAATTAAACCTAACAATAATAATAGCAATAATCATATGCATCAGTGGAAACATCTCCAGTCCTCCTCATTCAACAAATCATCATCATCATCATCATCATCATCATCATCATCATCATCGTTACAATTATTATTATTATTGTTATCATCAGAATATCGGCGGGCTAGTAAATTTCATTTTCCCTCCTCTTTTAAAACTTTCCTTCAGGGTTGAATCAGGTGATTTATTTCTTCCTGTSTGAAAAGGAGCTGTCCATTAATCCTGAACTGCTACGGTTTGATCCTTGCTCGGTGCCTCCGTGGCGTTCGCCTCCTTGGCGGGAGGTTCGGCGGCTGGTGTTGAACTAGGTGCGGCGGCGGCGGCGGCGGCGGCCTCTGTGGGCTTGGTGTCGGGGGAGGCGGCGGCGGGAGCTGCTGGTGCCGGGGGGGCCTCAGTCTTTTTGGCGTCGGCCTCTCCTTTGCTCTCGGGTGTCTTCGCCTCGGGCTCCTTGGCGGCGGGAGCGGGATCTTTGGCCGGGGCGGGGGCGGCGGCCTTCTCCTCGGCCTTGGCCGCSTCTGTTTTGGGCTCGGCGTTGGCGGCCGGTTTCTCGGACTCCTTCGTCGCAGAAGTCGCGTTCTTCTCCTCCTCTTTTGGCGCGGCAGCGTCGGCCGCCGGGGCGTCCTTGGCTGCCGTGTCGTTTGCTACTTCCTTAGCATCGTTAGCCGCCTCGTCTTTCTTGTCTTTCGGTGCTTCGCTCTCCTCAGCCGAGGCCCCTTCTGCTTTGGCATCCTTGTCTTTGGACTTATCGTCGTTCACGCTGTAGCCCTTCTTCTTTTTGCTCAGCTTGCCTCCCATTTTAGATCTCTGGCCTCTGAAACAAGAAAAAACTCAACTTAGTAAAAATGTCTTTGGCTTTACCTCCTGGTCTCATCGTAAASCTGATTTCCATCAATGTTTTTGTTGTTTTCTACAGAAGTGTAGCGCTGTCACATGACATAAAATTATTTTTAAACTGGATCTCATTTTAACGAGAAAACTATCTTGTAAAATGAGAAAATATGTCGTTATAACGACAAAAATATCTTGTAAAAACGAGAAAACCATCTCGTTGTAACATGTTATGGTTTCCTCTGGTTTGTCACTTTCACTGAAGTTTATTGCCTGGATGGCGTGACGGAGAACACGACTGAACCACTATCTGTGTTTTTACCAAGAAGAAATCTGCAAGAGGAACARTTTCTAGACTAAAAAATGACAAAGTAAGTTAGTGACCAATGTTTTTGAAATAATAACGTCTGAATTCAGATTAGAGAGTGCAGATTGCTGAAGAAGTGCTACTAGCATAAGTCTGAGCACAAACCCAAATAGTAAGTGTTCTGTTTGTTTTTGTTATATAGTGTTTTCATCACACCATTGTAGTGGTCACCTTGGGTGGAATAAACG